GAGCGACCCGTTTGACGTTGTGAAGCATTAGCAGTAACGATTAGAGGAGCGGTAGGTTCGGCTTCCTTGAGAGATCGCTCAGAATCAACCAGTTTATTGAAGAGTTTCGGGTAAGAAATCGGTTGTTCTTGTACCTTAAGGGCAGCAGTGATGGAGTTGTATTCATCATCAAGTTAGGTGAGGATATGAACTAGAAGATCTTCTTCATGAATCGGACTTTGAACCAGCGCCAATTCATCCGCAATAGATCGCATTTCATTCAAGAAAACCGCAACGGAGCGATTTCCCTTTGGGTTCTTTGCAAGTTTTGATTTAAGGGGGATAATTCTGGATCGAGATTTGCTTGCAAAGCTGGATGTGAGGCGATCCCATGCTTCTTTAGCAGTCGAAGCCGATGCAATAACCGGTTGAATCTCGTCGGAGCAGGATCCGAGAATAGCACTAAACAAGATTTGATCTTGTCGATACCAAACAGTGTATTCCGGGTTTGGTTTAGTGACCTCCTTGTCGGCAATAGTCTTTGATGGAACATTGCCATCGGTGATAAAATTATCAAGTCCTAGTCCGATTAAAGTGGACTGAACTTGGCGCCGCCATACGGGAAAATTTTGGGACGTAAGTTTGGTAGGAAAGTGGGTTGCAGTGGTGATGGGAATTAGGGGCTGTGAAGTTGCCATGGGAATGAGATGTAGAAGATGAGATTTAAAAAAAAAAAAAAAAAAGAATAGGATCACTATACTCTTCCGAGTTAGAAGGCTCTGAATACCATATTGTAATTGAATGTAAAAACCTCTGATAATAGCCTTCAATACTATTCGTCAATAAATAGCACAGATATACAAAATTACAGGAGAATTAATAGGACTATACAAGCAACTCAATCATTGACTACAACAATATTGGAATCTTAAATCTAATTTAACTATGAACGGATATTCGGTGCATGATCCTTAATAAATAATGCTTGTTTTCTCGGTAGTTTTTGAAAATTTTGATATCCAACCGTCTCATTTTATATGTTTTTTTTTCCGCTTTATGATTCAGGAAATTTCCAGCTTTTGTTTAATGTTTGATTGTTTTCTGAATTATTGATTCTTATGATTTGTGAATTGTAATAGATGGTGTTTTCGTATTTTTTATTCTGAAATTCCTTATTTTATATATTGAGAATGCCGAGATTTCAGATGGATTTTTGTTCACTTCTTCAACCTTTTGCATCTCTGTCTCATGTTTGTCTCTAAGTATGGTTGCTCACTGCTCAGCCTCTCAAATAGATTTATGGGCTCACCCGTTACTAATTACTAGCTTTCTATTGGTTTAAAGGCCAGCTTGTTTTTGTTTATTGCTTCAGTAATGATTAATGATTAAGCCATTCTAAATCAATTGAATTACTATTAAAGTCTGTACTTAAATTCCCACTGAAATCAATTGAAATTTGCTATTTGACTTGGAAAAATGATTACAGTTTACTTCTATGTTATTGCTAGTTGAAATAATTTCATCTTCTCTGTTCCAGTGTTTTTGTTTGAAGTTCATGAGTCCTTAGATTTGATTGCGAGACTACTTTGGGTTTTTTTTTTGCTTATTTATTAACCTTTTTTTTTATTCCATTCAAAGTTAGATATCAAAGAAACCTGTCAATGTAAATAATTATTTTTCAAACTTGTAATTTATTTAATCAAACCATGTTAGCAAAGACACCAATCAATGCAAAATTGCCAAAGAATAATTTAAAAGTAAATAATTAGCATCGTATAATAGAAACCAATATGTGCAAATAACTTGTGTTTATGTTATAATAGGATTTATAGGATTATCGAGAATTTTTATTAGGTTCCTTGCAAATGTAAATTTTTGTTTTCAATTTTTGCATTACTTATATTTTTATTTATTTATTGCTAGATCACTTTGCTTCTAATGTTTCAACTATTTCCACCATCAATTTGAAACAACGAATCACAACTCGCGAAAAGTTTTTATTCTTCTCTTTTGGTATTGTTTATTAAGATGTATTTTTTAAGTAACAAAGACCAAACATGTTTCCCTGACACAACAAAGTGTTTGGAATATTATTTATTGATGACATTAAACATCTCTAATCCGTTGTTTTTGGTTAAGTTTGCTAGTTTTAGTGTGTATGGATACAATCTTTTAATATAAAAATGTGTGTGTTTGTGTGTTTTTTTTTGTATTATAGCTTTATAATTTAAACAAATTTGATGTAAATATCGGGACATTATTAACGCTTTTTGTTTGGGGCATGAAAAACCTTTGGACCGACCATAAATGAGGAGTTTAGCAATTTTGATTTCATCAGCAGTACCTAGTAGTTTTAGATATAAGTGGCGATGAATCTTGGATGCAGTATCAGATAGAATCCCAATTATGGCTCTTGAGACACTTTGAATGTTGATTATCCTTGCATCACCTTTCCCAAGAATCCTGTTAAACTAAGAATTGAAAGAAAGGAGAATTAGAATGAGCTGTATAAGATTGGTGTATGTATAAAAGGGAAATGAAGGATGATTACTTACTTCTTTTTCACGAAACCTAAATTGTATCTTCTTCACTGCTTCTGGAGTATTGACTGCACAATTTCTGCATAGTTTCTTGGTGGACCTGAATAACAGAGACAATGATTTATTCGGCAAATTTCATTGATGCATTAATCAAACCACATAGGAAACTCAAACACTGTCTATAATAAGCTTTCATAACAGTAATGGCTCCAATCGAGTAGGCATCACCCCCAACCCTAAATACCTAAATCGAACCGTAGCACAAACCAACTTCTCCTATCAACGGCAAAAAACAAAATCATTTAACATATGACTTAAAGCAAAGTTTAACAAAATGAACCTGCAATTTTCGAAGTTGGATTCATGATCCAACGAACATGGATCTCCTCTTGAGAATAGAAGATATATAAAAAGTCGGATGAAAAGAAATTTGGGAGAAATCAATCATTTGTACAAAGATATAGAGAAAGAGAGCGGGCGCAAAACCTCATTGGTTGACAATGGCGGTGTTGATGCTGACCGAAAAGATGGTGAGGCGGTGGAAGCAAACAATGATGAGTGAAGAAAAACGACGTACGCGTGTCAGGGAAGATAACCGAATATGTAATGTGGGCATCTGCTTTATATGTGGTTGAAATGGGTTGCTGAACTCACACAACATACCAATGGTTGATTCGGGTCCAGTGTAGGCATCAAGAAGAATGTAGATCGAGACGCCGTTGGAAGCCACCGATCAGAGGTAGAGAAGCTATGGAGTTGGGAACAATCTAGAAAGAAAGAGATAAAAGACTAGCCAGAAGCAAAGGTAAAGTAAGTGAGCGGTGGCGGAAGGATCGGGAAGTAAAAGCCCTAACCCCTGTCGGATTGCTAGTACGTGTTGACAAAGAATATACAATACGTCAAAAAATGACCCCTTACAAAAATCATGCCGGAATTGCACCCATACCAATAAACATGGGACCATTTCTGCAAACCTCTTAGAATCTTTAGTGTTCCTAAGAGGTAGGGACGAAAGTGGGTCCAAATCCGGACCGGATGGACCCGGACCCGGAAAACTCGGAACCGGTTAACGAGATTTTATAGAACCGAAAACCCGACTGGTATATAGGAATTGGTTCCGGGTAAAGTCGGTCTAGAACTGGAAAACCCGGAAACATCAAAGTGGGTAGGTTGGAACCGGACAAAGTGGGTTTATAACTGGAAAACCCGAAAAAATCGGAATTTTTTTGGTAATTACTTACTACCTAGTAGGTTGAACTTTGAAAATTTTCAAATTGATATACCGACTTTGGGGGATTGTAACTCATTGAATATGAAACCAAAATTAACAAAATTATAGTCTAAACTTATGTACAAACTCTAAAGTACACTCTGAATAAAACCGTATGTCAATCCGACTTTAAACGAATGAGATATGCATATGTTAACATTTTCACATAATACAAATTACAAAAACAAATAGGTAAAAAGTTGAAAATTTTAAGTTTTGATATCCCGACTTCGGAGAACTATAAATCATTGAATGTTAAACCAAAAATGACAAAATTATAGTCTAAACTCATGTACAAACTGTAAACTACATGATGGAAAAAACCACATGTCAATCCGACTTCAAACGAATAAAGTATGCATGTTTTAAAACATTCACCGAATACAAAAAAACTGAAAAATAAAAAACAGCTTTGATATCTTGACTTTGGAGGACTGTAAGTCAATGAATATAAAACTAAAAATGGCAATTTTATAGTCTAAAATCGTGTACAAACTCTAAACTACATGTTGGAAAGACCACATGTCAATCGGAATCGAAACGAATGAGATATGCATCTTTTAAACGTTTCACAAAAACCGGTTCCGACCCTAAAAGTGGTTCCGGTTCCAAACACCGGTTCCGATTTTTAGACCTGATTTGATTTACCCGGACCCGATTGATTCAAACCCGGAACCTGGATAAAATCAAATTTTAAACCCGGAACCAGAACCGGTTCTATATATTCCGGTTCCGGTTTTCGGTTCTAAATATCATCCCTACTAAGAGGTGGATACACTTATTAATTTGTAACTGAGGTTTATTATATGTAAATAATTGTAGTGTAGAAAAACAAAAAGGGGTCATTTCAAACTTTTATGTAAATGAAAGGCATGTAAACAAAAGTTTGAAAAAGTAGAACTACGTATGCATATGATCTAGAAAATGACGTGCCTTTATTGCCTTTACAGTCCCAGAAGTTGCTGACAGAGATCCAAAAAAGTTATTAAATTATTTGTAAAATAAAATAGTGCGAAGCTTCCTTTCCCACGGCGTTGACGACCTTGTCGTCTTCGTCCTCTGTGAACTCCTGGACAATATTCTATAAATACCCTCTCAGTACTTTGAATCTTCACACGTCTTCTTTAAATCCTCTTATTTTCCAAATTACTAAATCCAATACAGATACACTTGACAGTTGACACAGTCAAATCAGCATCTACTTCACAGACATGGCAAAGGTACACATTTGTTTACTAATCCAGTTCAATTCTGTTTTGTTTTTTCGAATAAGTTAAACTCAATTTGTGTAATCGAATGGTTTTGCAGCAAAAGATTGTGGTGAAGGTCACAATGAACAACGAAAAGAAAATCCGTAAGGCTCTGAAAATCGCAGTTAGTCTCTCCGGTAAGATCATGTTTCGAGATTTTCCTCTTCCCAATTTTCACTTAATTCTCGTTTTCCAGAAAAATCGCTTAATTTCAATTTCATAACGTAAATGTTAACCTCAATTTGAATTGTGGGTTTTATACCTGATCATTGTTAACCTCAATTGGAATTGATTGGAGCACTTGACTAAATCATGATCTGAAAATTGATGAACAGGAGTCGAATCAGCATCTTTCGTGGGATCAGATAAAACCCAAATCGCTGTGACTGGGGAACATGTCGACTCAGTTGAACTGGCGACCTTGCTAAGGAAAGGTGTTGGATACACAGAGCTACTGAGTGTTGGTCCGGTGGAGGAGAAGAAACCAGCCGCCGCAAAGGAAACAAATCCCACGGTGGCGCCACTAGATTTTACAGTTAATCCATACCAATATTACTACGGCAGCTATGGGATGCCCTACTATGCATATTAGATTTAGATCTTATTTAGTGAAAAAGAGTGAAAGAAATTAGTTTTATATTGATGCATAACTAGCTTCATTTAAACTTTTTTTTTTTTTTTTGGGAGTTTTGCATTCCATGAAATAAGAGACCCTTGATGTACATATTATCTTTGTGATATATGGGAAAATTTTGCGATACTTAATATACATTAGTTTATTAAGCATCTTATTAAAAAATAATAATAAAGATAGTCTTGTAGATTATTTCCATGTCGTCTTTGAATACTACTTGACATGAGATTTTGTATTATCTATAAAAAACATTCATGTTGCTCATTTTGAAACACGAAATTGCATATGGTACATGGCCATCTACAGTTTCCTGTTAAGTCCTCCGCGATTTCCACTTTTTTGACATGCGGATTTTAATTTATTATGTTTACAATAAAAGTTTGTAAGTTTGACTACGATTTTGAACTAAGATGTTTGACATCTTTGGCTATGATTTTATATTTTTACTACTTTGTATAGAATGCAGATAAAAAATCTAGAATATTAGCGTTTATTTTTTCATGCTATATTTTCAATAAAAAATATTATAATTTCTACTAAATATTTTGATGTGGTTGTAATTGACGGAAAGTGAGAGATAAATGATTATCAACTAAGATACGCTTGGCAACGAGGGGAAGTTCTAGAATGTTTAGTTCCGTGTGCGATTTTTCGAAAATATTACTTTTGTGAATTTCTATATTTGGTGAAAGTAAGACTAGTTTGTTAGATAAATCAATTATTAGTGTTGCTTTCCGTCATCCCAAAATGCAGTATATTATAGTCATAGTAGATGATGGTTATGTTAGAAACTTGATCAATGTAATTAAAGAGTTTTCGAAGAAAACCTATGAATGTAATTTTCGTGATTGTTGAAGGTGATGGTGCTAAAGAAGGAGATGATAGTGTTAATCAGTTGAAAACATATCCAGCGGAAAAGGAAGCAACTTCTAATGTACGTCGATTTCATAGTGTTGCTGCTGAAAATGAAAATGTGGTGTAATTACCTATTCACTATGTGGATCCTCAAAATTATACGTATGTTGTTACATATGTTAATGATGTAGGTGCATGAGATAATACTGAACACCAACATCAAGTTCAGCTTAATGAGGTCGGTAAAGTTAATGAAATTGAAAACCAAGAAGAAGTTCCATTTTTTAAGAATGTCAATCTAGCTGGTTACGGGGATAAATTAGTTGTTCGTTTGGATATATTCGACCTATAAAGTAATTCCAATGGAGAAAAGTCAGATGGTGAACCAATACATAGGTTTCATATATTAAATTGTTTAGATTATGGGTTCCCTAAGGATATTCATGGCACTTTTGGGTTATAGACTTCGAATTAGACCAAGAAGGAAACCGTTATCCTATTCTAAGGTCGTGTGCGACCATGTTTTCATATGGTGTTGCTTGGGTAGCAGCATTGTTATGCTCAATTGGCATTGTGAGGGAGTTGCTTAGGTCCCTTAAAGGCAATGGGATGAGGTGGGTATCATTAGGCACGGAGTATTAGGCGGATGATGTGATGTTGACAAGGTTGGTGTGATACTGAAAACATTCCTGACATGGGATGAGGGCCGGGGAGGGCATTCCATACTCATGTTGTGGGCTCGGAGGCAATCCAGACCTATGCTGAGGACCTTGTAGGGGTATTCCGATCGTAGGCTGTGGGCCTAGTGATCATGATTGTTTATTTCTTCTATTGGTAGTACATTCGACATTGGCGTGTTGATCGGAATCGAGAGACCCACCAGTCAGATGGTTTGGATAAAGGAAGAAATACGGTTGTAGGGAGTATCAGTTAGGTATCAGAAAGTCTATGTAGGATGTATTGATTATGATTCCGGTTGCTCGCAAGTTGTTGCTAAGGTTTTGATTTTCAAGTTGGAATTGGTTATGAGGTCGCAATTTATAAAGTTCTTCATGATTTTCTTAAGGGGGTTGGATATAACGCATAAATTCTTGGTTTGATCATCTTTGCTCGGTGAAGCAATGGTTTGTATTGGCATAGCAGAGAGTGAAGGGTTATTAAGGTTTTGGTACATCATATGCTTTGGTTTAGGGTCAAGTACACAGTCGGTATGTTTTGAGGATCATTTTTGCATGTTTTTGTTAGTGTCTCCAGCCAGGGACTAAGGGCAAACTCATAATTGGATGTTCATTAGTTGTAGGGAAGGGTCTTCAAGAAGAATACGAGTGGCCATTTTCGAGTGGGCTTGTAATGGGAACTCGCGTTGGGAATCGCGCTTGTATCCGTGCAAGGTCTGTACTAAGAAAGATGTGGATCAATAAATTTTTATGTCTAAGGCCTCAACAAGAGGGTTAAGGATTTAGCTTACGTGTCTGTGCTCTAGGATTGTTCACCTGTGTAAAGGTCGCGCAAGTGATGATGGAAATTGTGGTTTTCAAGTAATATTATTATGTCTCGGTTTAGAGGAAGATGCATGGCCTAATATTCGAAAAGACTTAATTAAAGCGTTGATGAAATATAAGCCGTATAATGTTGGCATGTTTGAACCCAAAATTAGTCTCATAATTGCAACACTTTAAATTTTTCAGCAGTCATGCACCTATTGGATAATAATATCAGAAATATGTATTCTCATTGCTTCAAGATATAATGTAATACTACATGATTTAACCGTCACAGGTAGTCAGACATAGCTACCACTTCGATCTTTTCCATCATTTTAGTATAAATGTGTTGCCATAGCAATTGGATATCAAAATAACAGTCATTACATCAAAGCTATATTGGATGGAGGTTACCTGATGAATACTATTCCACCACATTGTGAAACATCCTAAAAATACGATCCAAATTTTTTTTGTTTTTAAATAATAATAAAGGTCATAACACTGAATGTCATATAATAAAAGTCATACGTCGGATATCTCAAAAGCCATAATAAAAGTGTTGTATCAAAAATGTATCAAATCATATCTAAGTATCGGAAAAAAACTCCCAGGAATAAAGCTAAAGTTGTGGTGTGTGCGATGCCGTCATCCCGAGCTCTTCCCTTTACTTGCGGAAGTACCTGAAACCAAAACTGAAACTGTAAGCACAAATCCCCCAAACCACCACATACCATACAATAACATATAAACACATATTAGGCCTTGCCCACTACATCAGACCGATGTCCGAAAACTGCATCAGGCCGAAGTCCGGAACTGAGTGAGACCTTATCCCATGCATCGGACCGAAGTCCGGAACTAACTGCATCGGACTGAAGTCCGGAACTGACTGGGACCTTGTCCCCTTCATCGGACAAAAGTCTGGAACTCACTGCATCGGACCGAAGTCCGGAAACTAACTGAGCATAACATAGCATAGCATAAACATATCAACTAGCAATAACACATAAACTGCATACTGCATCGGGTCGTAACCCGGAACACATAACACATGAAAACTGCCTGAGCTACGAAGGCATCCAACATTCTAACTACTGCATCGGACCGAGGTCCGGAAGCTACTACTAATTAAACGGGTCGGCATTGTGGCCTTAGACCCGTTCCTACTAGAAGGAAACTCACCTTGTAGCCTAGCTGCTGAAAGAACTGCTCCGGAATCTGTCTGCTGCGGCTCCGGCTTCACCTCGACTACAATTTCCATAAGTACCCTCAATCAAGTACTGATAATAATTCTGAGGGTAAAAAGACTATCTTACACTTGGTCAAAGTCAACCTATCAGTCAAAGTCCACATTCAGTTGGCCTGACTCGTCGAGTTGGGTCACCAACTCGTCGAGTCCTTATTCTCACTTTCTTACCTCACCCCGATACTACTCGTTGAGTTCAGCATAAATTCGACGAGTTACTCTTCGAACTAACACTCAGACAATCTGCATCCGACTCGCCGAATTGTATGAACAACTCGTCGAGCTCTCCTTCAACATATGAACACTCTGACTGTGACTCGCCAAGTTATATGAACAACAAGTCGGGTCTGTTCTTGAGTCATGAAGATTGCCTTGGACGCGCCGAGTCAGGGCATTGACTCGCCGTGTTCTTCCACGAATGAGTCTAACCTCTAGCTCACTGAGTCCATCTCTCCCTCACTGGTTCCACTCGGTATAACTCGAAAAGGGGGAAACAGGGGACTCGCGACTCGACTCGCTGAGTCTGAAGAACGACTCGCCGAGTCGTATACATGCAATCACTATACACTCGATTCTGCTTGAAACCAGTTCATTCCATTCATAGATCTAGGTTCTAGGGGCTTAATTAACACGTAAAGTTTCCAACTTTACGTGTGGATAACATCAAATGGAGGTTTTAAGGCTCAAAGCACACTATAAGAGTAGATCTAGAGCTTTCATGTAAAATGGCTCCAGAAAGGTACTAGATCTAAGCTTCTGGAACTCAAACCTAGATAGATCTGAAGGCTATTCATCTCAATGAGTCCTCTATGCTATTACCAAGCCAAGAAATGGTTCAAGAATAGCTTTAATGGCTTTCCAAAGGGGATTAAAGCATAGAAACAGAAAAATGGTCGAGTTATACCTTACTATACTCTTAAATGCCACAAAGATCTTGGATCTCCTTCTTCTCCCCTTGATCTACCTTCCTTCTTCTCACAAGATCTTCAAAGAATCACACCAAAACACACAAAAACCTAAGAGAGTTCTAGGGTTTCGAGAAGGATGCTTTGGGGGTGATGGAGGCTGACTTGGGGTCCCAAAAAGTTGTTTAAATAAGGTGCAAACCCTTGAAATTAGGGTTTCATCCAGACTGGCGGACTCGCCGAGTCCAGGATATGGACTCGCCGAGTAGCCAACTTAAACGTGCTCAAAATCCCAACGATTCTGGCTACTGACTCGTCGAGTTCCTCTTGAGAACTTGAAAAAATAAATATTTAAATACATACCAGAATTTGGGGTGTTACACATTGAATGAGATAGGTAACTCTATATAAAGATCGACTAGACGCATATAAGTAGTTTTTGACCACTAATCATAGTACTTAAGATGTTTTAGACAAATTGAAGTTGTAATATGAATTTTATATAAAAACAAATGTATTTGATTGACAAAGTTATTGTGTGGGACGTATGATTTATTTTTTTTTAGAAATTTATATGCACTTATTATTATTATTATTATTATTTTTAAAAAGACTATAAATTGAACAGGTTCAATAAGTAAAAGGTGTTAAATGAAACTTATTTCAAATTTTGAAGGATAATAAGTGAAAAATCTCATTTATTTGACCAAATCTAATTGTTTAATAATACAAAAAAAATGAATTTAATAAAGAAACTAGATGAGGAACCCGACTTTGAAGGGTATGGATTTGGACAACTCCGATCATTTTGGCAGCTTCGTGTTGTTATCGATAGAAAGGATTACATAGTAATTTGGAGTGAATATAACTGTAAAAAATAGTTTTTAAGATAATACATAGAAAAAAAACCTAATCACACCAAATCATAAAATAGTGTGGTCGTGGCAAGAAAATATATTGAACAGGGGGTTGATTATAAACTTTCAGGTAAATCAATAATTAAACTACCAAGATAAACTATATGTAAGTGGGTCACTTCGTTGCTATAATACTAGTAAAAAATTTATAAAGATTTTAGATGTTGAAACTTGAAACTTGAAAGTCTTGAATTGTTGTTTACCTTTGTGATTACATCTGTAATGAGGAGTTTAGCAATTTTGATTTCGTCAGCAGTACCCAATAGTTTTAGATATAAGTGGTGATGAATCTTGGATGCAGTATCAGAGAGAATCCCAATTGTGGCTCCTAAGACACTTTGAATATTGATTATCCTTGCATCACCTTTCTCAAGAATCCTATTAAACTAAGAATTGAAAGAAAGGAGAATTAAAATGAGTTGTATAAGATTGGTTTATGTATAAAAGGAAAATAAAGGATGATTACTTACTTCTTTTTCACAAAACCTAAATAGTATCTTCTTCACTGCTTCTGGAGTATCGACTGCAATTTCTGCAGAGTTTCTTGGTGGACCTGATGATGATAACAGAGACTATTATTTAGTCGGAGAATTTCATTGATGCATTAATCAAACCACATAGGAAACTCAAACACAGTCTATAATAAGCTTTCATAACAATAATGGCTCCAATCGAGTAGGCATCAACCCCAACCCTAATCACCTAAATCGAACCATAGCACAAACCAAGTTCTCCTATCAACGACCAAAAACAAAATCATTTAACATATGATTTAAAGCAAAGTTTAACAAAACGAACTTGCAATTTTCAAAGTCGGATTCATGATACAATGAACATGAATCACCTCTTGAGAATAGAAGATATATAAAAACTCGGATGAAAATAAATTTGAGAAAAATCAATCATCTATACAAAGATATAGAGAAATAGAGCGGGGACAAAACCTCATTCGTTGACTACGATGATGTTGATGCTGACTGAAAAGCTGGTGAGGCGGTGGAAGCAAACAATGATGAGTGAAGAAAAACGACGTATGCGTGTGAGGGCAGATAACTGAAAGTGTGATGTGGGCATCTGCTTTATATATGGCTGAAATGGATTGTTGAACTCACATAGTGTACCAATGGTTGATTCCGGTCCAGTGGAGGCATCAAGAAGAACGAAGATCGATACGCTGTTGGAAGCCACCGATCAGATATTGAGAAGCTATGCCGGTGGGAACAATCTAGAAAGAAAGAGATAGAAGACTAACCAGAAGCGGAGGTAAAGTAAGGTAAAGTAAGTGAGCGGTGGCGGAAGACTCGGGAAGTAATAGCCCTAACCCCCTGTCGAATTGCTAACACGTGTTGACAAAGAATATACAATACATCAAAAAATGAAATCAAGCCGAAATTGCACCCACACACATAAACAAGGGACACATAGACATAAAGATCGTTAAAATTAGATATCGTATGAACAAGTTACGATGTTTGGAATACAAAACCTAAGCCAAACCACAAGTTCAATGCAACCAAGCAATCCAGGTTGCGATGAACATAAACATCAACAGCCCAAACACCTCATCAATCAGGGACGGATGTAGGATTTGGTAGTAGGTGTTGTCAGTCTGTAGTAGGTGTTGCCGGTAAGTAGACAAAAGAAAAAACATTTGAAAAATATCGAAAAATTTACACTACGTAAAGACAAGTAGGGTTGTCGGTGCCACTGCGGGCACCCAAAGAGAACCGTCCCTATCATCAATGATAGTCCCATGTTAGATGTCATGAGAAAAACCTTAAATAAATCATTCATAAATACTGAATTGGTACAAAAACAAAAAATGACTTATTTTGAAACAAAAAAAAAAATAATGACTAAATGTGTACAAAAATATTAAGGACTAAATGTCTACAAAATGAGAAATATATTACACTAATAAGTCATTTTTTCGGCTAACCTGAAATAACCGGTTATAAGGATTGGATGTATACAGTTTAACAAGTTGAAATAGTAAATATGAAAAGAAAAAAAAAAAAAAAAAAAAAAAAAAAAAAAAAAAAAAAAAACTCAGTTATCAAATGTGTATAAATTGAAAAATATATTACCCTTTTAAATCATTATCTCTTTATTATATGTAAATAACTGTAGTTTAGAAAAACAAAAACGGGTAATTTTAAACATTTATGTAAATGAAAGGCATGTCAACAAAAGTTTGAAAAAGTAGAAGTACGTATGCATATGATCTAGAAAATGACGTGCCTTTATTGCCTTTACAGTCCCAGAAGTTGCCGACAGAGATCCAAAAAAAAGTTATTAAATTATTTGTAAAATAAAATAGTGCGAAGCTTCCTTTCCCACGGCGTTGACGACCTTGTCGTCTTCGTCCTCAGTGAACTCCTGGACAATATTCTATAAATACCCTCTCAGTACTTTGAATCTTCACACGTCTTCTTTAAATCCTCTTATTTTCCAATTCACTAAATCCAATACAGATACACTCGGCACACTCAAATCAGCATCTACTTCACAGAAATGGCAAAGGTACACAATTGTTTACTAATCCACTTCAATTCTGTTTTGTTTTTTTCGAATAAGTTAAACTCAATTTGTGTAATCGATTGGTTTTGCAGCAAAAGATTGTGCTGAAGGTGACAATGAACAACGAAAAGAAAATCCGTAAGGCTCTGAAAATCGCAGTTAGTCTCTCCGGTAAGATCATGTTTCGAGATTTTCCTCTTCCCAATTTTCACTTAATTCTCGTTTTCTAGAAAAATCGCTTAATTACAATTTCATAACGTAAATGTTAACCTCAATTTGAATTGTGGGTTTTATACCTGATCACTGTTAACCTCAATTGGAATTGATTGAATTACTCGACTAAATCATGATCTGAAAATTGATGAACAGGAGTCGAATCAGCATCTTTCGTTGGATCAGATAAAACCCAAATCGCTGTGACTGGGGAACATGTCGACTCAGTTGAACTGGCGACCTTGCTAAGGAAAGGTGTCGGATACACAGAGCTACTGAGTGTTGGTCCGGTGGAGGAGAAGAAACCAGCCGCCGCAAAGGAAACAAATCCCACGGTGGCGCCACTAGATTTTACAGTTAATCCATACCAATATTACTACGGCAGCTATGGGATGCCCTACTATGCATATTAGATTTAGAGACCCTTGATGTACATATTATCTTTGTGATATATGGGAAAATTTTGCGATACTTTATATACATTAGTTTATTAAGCATCTTATTAAAAAAAATAAAGATAGTCTTGTAAATTATTTCCATATGTCGTCATTGAATACTAATTTGTTCCATATGTCGTCATTGAATTCTAATTCTTATATATTTTTACTATCTTATAAAAGAAATCTTACTATTTCTATAAATAGATTGAATATAATAATATTATTTTTTTAAGACGTCCAAATCATTAAACTGATAGTACAAGTCACTACCAATAAAATATTAATAATTATTTGAATTAACCCAATTAGATTAAATCGTACAAACAATAATACAACGTATACAAGTAGCTAATACGATACATAAAAGATCTTTGACCCGGTTCCTTTATCTTTCCCTCTTATCTCCATCTCCCAGTTGATTCTTATCTCCATCTCCCAGTTGATTGACTCACTTAATTCCTTATAAATCTGCAATAATCTTTCAACAAACGTGCTGAACTTTTCCTATATCTAAGCTAAATATAAACAACATAAATATATTGAAGGCAGTAAGGCACATAAGATTAAATTCCTTTGTTCCTTGGATTCCTCCATCTTCTGAGTGCCTTCCTTCTCTCCCACTTCTTCATGTCTTTTGAAATACAGAAACCCTAATGTCGTTAGACTCTCTCTCTCTCTCTCTCTCTCTCTCTCTCTCTCTCTCTCTCTCTCTCTCGTTGTTGCCACCAAACTCAACCACCTCAAGTGTTCATTTTTCTCAATGCTACAACGACTCCAACCCATCTGGCAACGATTTCCGTAAGCAACTCAAGTTTACCCTTCCTACCCATAGGTTTCTTGATTTTTGTTGTCCTATTTTGGGTTTTTCATCATAATATGCTGCAACGACCCTCAACTCTTTGTCGATGTTCGATTCCTTTGGTGATGGAACCCATCTCTATAAAGTACTCACCATAGCTCTTTTTTTTAATCCTCTTTCTAACTCACTGTGTATATCGATAGTCGACCCTCCTGCCTCACTTCTTTGAGTCTCAAGGTACAAGTTTTGGAAATCAAAGATATGTTTGTTTTTTTTACATGTTTTTCTGAAGATTCAAGCTACAACTGTGGAAAATCAACGATAATTAGTTTGTTTTTTCCAGTATTTTTCTAGATTCAAGCTAGAAATTTGGGAAATCATCTCAGTTTTTTTTAATATATTTCAGACTTCTTTGCTTGCAGATCCAAAAGCAAGAGAGATTGACACACTAAAAAAGGAACTACAAAACTCCATGAAGCAACTCTGGATAAACTTGAGTTGGTGAAAACATAATCTGAAAGTTTATCATCACAGAAGGTAATAAAATGTGAGAAAAATAAGAAATTAAATGTGATTATAGGTTAAAATGAAACAACTCAAAAGTGGTTGAGTTGATGTTGTAAGCCTAAAAGGTTTCGTATAGAGTTGATCTGTTTTGGGCAAGGAACCGGTAACCACTGTGTGTTTGTTTGTGTATTGAGGCCTGAGTCTTGGCGGTCTCCTCGTATCACTCTATATTTAGGCAAAAGGAATCGAATCTTGGCAATTATCACTCCTCTGTCGATCTCAAAACAGTTTAGTATGTGGTAGCCTTTGGCATATCTGCAACTTAGTTTTTTTTTTACCTGTCAACATCAATGTTGTTGGAATTGAATTTTTTTTATTTGGTATCAAATACTCTGAAAGTTGCTTTAAATTTGGAAAAGAATGTAGGAAATATACAATTTCTTTATGTATTTTGATTTTCGTTTTCTAAAGGACAAGATGTTAATACTTTGTTATTTTGTTACAGAAAAATGAAAATGAAGGTGGAAAAGATGCCATGAGGTAACTACTTTCTACTACAAATCTCAAATTTCCATGCCTAAACTCCCAAGTTGTTCTAATCATTTACTTTGAATTTTGATGCCCTTTATATTGACCATATTCATCATGCGTGTACTTAGGTTTTCTGAATTTAGGTGTATTCGTATGATTTTTAGTGAAAAATGATGTTGTGTTTTTGTTGCAGCAGCAGATGATGAACATAAATAAGAAGGTGGTGGATTTGTGAGTAAAGGTTTGGATCTGTCTACTTCACTACACCAAATAAGTAAAGCTAACATCTTTTTTTGCTCTGATGCTTAGAGTCTCTGGTTCATCTATTGATTTTATCCTTTAGTTATTGATTTGTCTTCTCATAAAAGTTTTCATCTTGTACATGATGAACTATGAAGTCATTGTTGGCTAAATCTTCTTGACCACCTTCACCCCCATCTTACTTCATATTGCCACCGTTCACAACCACCATCTCTCTTTAACAGCCAACGAAATCTATGTTTCTTCAGGTTTTCAATTTCTCTCAAATGTTTTCAATATCTCCTTTTTCTCATGAAATTTATGGTAACTCAATTTAGGTTCTCTATTTAGATTGTTTCATATAAAAGTTTCTTTTAATATACTGTTTTGTGGCTTGCATGCTTTATTGTTGGTGGCTCATGTGTTTCTTCGGTATGTTTGGAGAAGTAATAATGAGAAATCTTCGATGACTAGGTCTGAGACAGAAGGAAGAGGAAGGACCACATGAAACTATTGGGTTGAATAACAATGAAAATGAGTAAATCTCTATGAACTTTCATCTCCATTAGTCTTTTCTCCTTTTTGTTCATCACTTTACTTTTTCACTGGCTATTTTTTCTTTGGTTTTAGGTTTATGAAGAAGAAGCAAATCTAAAGAATAAGCAATCCTAGAGAAGAAGCAGACATGCACTCTGAAACTCTGTCTTTTCCTAGGGTTTACCCCAAAATGATCAAATCACAATTTTTATGTTTGTATAGGAAAAAGGAACGGGTTAGATGATGCTTTTACCCAGTTTAAGTTATTTAAGCTGGGATTTAGTTTACAAACTGATAACTAAATAAACATGATTTTTTTTAATTTCCATGTTAATTTGGTTTTAAGAGGTTTCTGCAAATTCTTCATCATTATGTGCATATTGAAAACCACCCATGCTCTTCCTTTGTACGTTTATGTGCTTTGTAAGTTTGTTTGTGTATGTATATGTGTTTTATGTATAATGTAAGGTTTGCATTCTATGTCAAATGGTTTTGGCTTGAATATTAAGATCTAAAAGGCATACTTAATATATGTTTTTTGTGTTGAAAGTTCAATTGTAGACATGAGGAATACGACAAGTCAATACTTAATAATAAATATAGACTTTAAAACATTTTTTTTTAATTTTACTATCGATAAGTTACTTTGAATCAGTCATTTAATATTTTTATATTACATGTATGGAAAGGTACTCATGTTTCTTTTCTATGTTGATATGTGACAGTGTATGACATTGTAGAAAGAGGGAGTTGCTCTGAAGTTAGTAGTAGCATTAGTATCCTTTTTATCTTTTATGCTTGGGAAGAAAAGCTTCAGGAAGAAGTTCATAGTAGATTAATTTGCTTAATGTAACAATCGTAGGGTATTTAACCATTTATTATCTTGGTATTGAATTATTTTATCTTCTTTGTGTGTATCAAATGAAAGAAACAAAGAATAAAGCATTTGCTTAATTCAAAGAAACGAGAATGCATATTTAAATTTTTATTAATACTTTTGTTGGATTTCAAAGAATAAAACATTTGTTTAATTTAAAGAAATGATAGTAGGCCAATCTATAATAGCCTGTGAATTTTTGGTGAAATGATAGTAGGCCAATATCTATGTGTGTAATGAAACATAAGTAGGCTGCAATGTATTGTGTATTTTCCTTTTGTCCAACTAATGTGTCTAATATTTGTATTTTCTTGCAGCTTGAGTACAGAGTGGTTAAAGAATACCGAATGAAAACCTCAAGTTCATCACTTTCTTCATTTTTAAATGACCCAAAAATTAAACAAGTTTCCCTAGAGAATCAGTTACTTGAATGAGTTTTTTGTCGGAAATGATTTGTATGTAGGTATTTGTTTTCCATAAAATAACAACATACTTTATGAGTTGTTGAGATTTTTTTTGCTACTATAAATTATGTTTCAACTAAGATTAATGTTGAAGTATGCATAAAAAATAAGTTCAACTATTCATTTTGTAGTTTTGAAACCCGTTGGTTAATACAAGTTGCATCAAACGGGTGCTTATCATGTAGATAAAATGAAAAGATTTTATATTATTTTAAATAAATAAACAATAAAGGGAATGAACAAGGTACACAATTAATTTTGTAGTGCTCTTTTTATATTAATTTATACATTTTAAATAATATTTTTTATGCAAAAGTAGTAAACGTTTTGTAAAGTTTAATATAATATGATAACTTATATCTAACATTTCTTTTATATCAACTTTTTGTCTTGTAATCTGAATTCAAAAAAATTATCTCTAACTTCCAAAAGTTATTATTCCAGTTAAGATTTTAAATAATGACTTTGATTTTGTTGTTCAAAAAATATTTTTAAATTAACTTTATATTTTTGTTTTTAATTTATGGTAAAATAGATGAATAAAATAACATAGTTTTTATAACTTTATATTTTTGTTGTAATAACATAGTTTTTTGTAACGTATGTTAATTTTCATTTAACTGTTAGGTTATTAACATAGTCAACATAAGGGCACTATGAAATTGTTCACTGTTTTTTACTGAGTAACTATTTGAAGTCCGTGAAAAATAAAACAATCACTAGAAGGAAAATCTTTCTCGGAGCTAAACTACAAAAACACCTCGCATTCACCACCTGTTGTATTTTGCAGGTACGTCCGCTACTTATTCTTTGGAATAAAAAAAATTCTTTTTTACATTCGATCAATAGATTAAAAACACATACCCAAAAACCGCAAAACTGACCATGTACGTTCGCTGCTTATTCGTTGGAATATAAACTGCTCTTGGAGATAAACTATTCAACGTCGCTGGTTTGGAAATGAGTTCTTACTATGTAATTTATTTTTTATTTTATTTAATTTGGTCCTTTTGTGTTTTGTAATTTGGTTAATACTTAATGGTTTAATGATTTGATCTGATAGTTGCAAAGAAATTGTTCACCTAAATGAACTAATAATCGTTGGAAAGAAAACGATTAACTAATAACCATTAGAAAGAAAACGAATCATTGAATTGAAACTAACACTTAGTGATATTTGTCAATACATTTAATGTAGAATGTTTCCTAAAACAAAGTAATCGTTAAACCGGAACAAATCATTGTCAGCAGAAAAGAAATTAATTGTCGATAAAAACTATTCGCCGCCCGCTGTTTTGCGCGGGTATACGACTAGTATATATATATATATATATATATATATATATATATTAAAGGTGGACACTTTTTAGGAATAGTGAACTTCTTCAATTTTTTAGCAAAAATAACCCATAAGTTTTCATATTTTTAGTGGTTCATGTTTTTAGCACTAAAGTTTGTGATGTTAGCTATTTGGTTCCCTGAATTATTAACAGTGTAAAGATAAATATGAGCTCGGATGTGTCATTCCCACGTTTCCCCTCACCGGTTCTGCCTCGCTTCCTGTGCTTCCCACCATTTTTTTTCTAGATTTTTCCATTTCTAATGGACAGTTCTAAACACAACCACCACACCTTCGACTCATTCCAGATTGTTGGCAACCGATCCTTCCAGCGTCTTCCTTTTCATCCGCTGTCTTCTACACCGAGTCAAAGTCATCAACGGCTTCGACGTTTTCGGTTTTTGTTTTGCTCCACTCGGTCGGCCGGATAGGTGTAGATTATCACCATCACTACATTGGAACCACCGATTCAGGGCGAATATTAGTCGTGAGTATTTTGTCGGAGGCCAGATCGGTGTTTCCTGTGATGAGGTATTCCACGCTTCTCTCTGACCCTGCTTCTTCCGGCCCGACCCACCGATTCATCCATCTTCAACATCAAACGAACCCGGTCAAGACCACCGAATGAATAATCCGTCATCTTCGTTTCGTTTTGCTATTAGGGTTAATCAATTTTGGCATTTTTAATGCAACACACACATAAATTATGCAAGGATTGATCGAGGGAGCAGCTCTAGCTTCGGAAAATAAGTTATAGAGTTATTGTTCTTCATGTATATCTCTTAAATTGATTTCTCCAAATTAAACCTAATCTTAATTTTTATTTTTACCTGTTATCGCTTGAACAAACTACGGTGATTTCTTTTCTAGATTGCAATTTTGTATAGTAGAGTTGTCGAATGCTGACATTTGATTGTGTATTATATTGTCTTCCTTGCAGTTCCATCAGTTTCAGGTTGTATGCAGTGTATGAAGCTTTCGGCTACCAACAAAGTCCGTGCTAAGAGCAAGTTGTGGTACACATCGATAATCTGATGTCACCTTTTTCCCTTTCGATCCAATGAATTACATGTTACGCACACATACTTTTGTATTTTGATTGTTTATTACATGGATCGATAATCATTGTATGGTGTTGGAAATCAGGTACTTCCTCAGGAAACTAAAGAAGGTGAAGAAGAGTAATGGTCAGATGCTTGCTCTTAATGAGGTAATACTAATACTCTATTTTTTATTCGTTTTGTGCTGAAATCATATACTTCATTACATAATATTTGTTGTGCATGTATAGATTTTTGAGAAAAACCCATCGACTATTAGAAACTATGGTATCTGGTTGAGGTATCAATCTACAACCGGATACCATAACAAGTACAAAGATTACAGGGGCACAACCCTTAATGGGGGAGTTGAGCAGATGTACACTGAGATGGCTTCTTGCTACAGGGTGCATCAGGTAGACTCTCATGATGTCAGTTGAAGATTAAGAAGGAAATGAGGTTTTTTTGTAGCTTATACTTTTGGTATTTCATGCAGGTTACTTTAAAATTTTTATTTTTTTGATATGCATTTTGGTGGACACTTTGTGACGATGTTGAACCATCCATTTCTATATAATTTATATTAATGAGGGGTGAATGTTGCGACAAAATAGAACCACAGGGACAATTTCCATCATACCAATAGACTAGGAAAATAGATATAGATACTGTAGGTATATGAACACTTTTTTCCTTCAAAGTTTTGTACAATTCTAATTATATCTTTTCATTCCAAACATTATTGTATCATATGATAGGACAGAAAACAAAACAAGCACCATAGAGAGTTGTGGCCCAAAAGTTAGAAAGGATAACTTGGTGCAGAAGAAATTTCACCAAATAATAAGCTTGGAAGATCCCTGTACATTTGTGCTATATGAGATGAAAGAGGTAGGATCATATTTCTCATTTCTGGAATATACCTTCCACATTCTTTAGGCATTCGTTGTTGAACATAAGGATCTGTAGCTCCATTGTCACCTCTCTCATAGTAGGTTTATTTTCTACAGCTAATTCAATGCATCTCTATCTAAGCTCAGCTACTATCTATATTTTGTATTAATTTTCTATTATTCATATTATATTTTCTGATACTTGGATATTGTTAAAGCAGCAGCATTGGAGATATCTCAACTAGCTTTAGATCCAAAATCCTCATATATATATATATATATATATATATATATATATATATATATATATATATATATATCATAGGATCACATTACAGAAAAGAAGACATATATTCCACAGGTAAATGAAGCAAAGGGTAATTTACTTTGTTCATATAGAATGAGAAGGGAATTCATGCCTTTTACACATTACAAAAAAAAAAAAAAGACTCTATCCCACCTTTTTTTGTTACAACAAAAAATTGCAGTTTTTTTCTCACTGACATGAATTTGACTCAGGGGAACCACAATACATACAGTATCATATCACAAATTACAAGTAAACAATTGAAGTTGGACTATTACCATCTGTAATTAACCATTTTATTTTTTGTTTTCTATTGAAAACGAATAGATGTCTTGGATGTTATTTGTAATAAACCTATTGATGTTTTCATTCACATTCAAAGTTGCTAAACAATATTTCATGTTTTATCTTTCTCATTTACAGTATCTAGAAGAGAAATACCCTTTGCGTTCTTTATTACCTCAACATCCTACAAGAAGATCAATAAGGTATTAGGTAATTTGCTTTCTAAAGAGGTGTACTTTACAATTTAATTACTATAGTGACCGCTAATCCCAAAACACAAATATTTTTTTTTTTTGTAAAAAAATGCGTTAGTCAAATTGTGTTGAATGTGATTCAACAAGACCAACAATATTTGCAATGTTAATTCAATGATCAGTGGTATGCATTTTGCATTGTGAGAGATAATATTAGTTTTAAAAACAATTTCTTAGATGTGATTTTTTTTTGGTTTTATGACAGTCGAATGCACCCATGAAGAAGGATTTTCTATTGTGGGAGATAACATTATTTTTGCAAATGGAAGCCAATTCTCTTACGTGGAAATTGGTTTTTCTTTTAATTCTCTTATTATTTTCTTTTTGTAAGTGGAAGTCTTTAATTATATATTTTACTCATGCAGGAGATAGACATATTGGCCATTGCAACTATGGAACCAATATGTGTCTTTTTCCTAAGTTAGTTTTTTTCTTTTGATACCCGAATTTAAAATTCCATGTTTTTTTATTTTTATTAATTTATTTCTAAAATTTGTACTAAATTTTTGCAGCTTTCGTCTTTGCACTCTTCTTTGCAGTCCTACACTTATCTCGGACAATGACGACGGGTTATAGACAGCTGATGAAACTTCAGCCTAGATGCATATATGAATGTAGAGGGTGTCCTAAAAGGAAGTATAGACCCTACAATTTCAAAGTATAGAATTAAAGAGATGCTTTAGAAAATGGAATAAAATTTTAAATCGTCTTCTAAGAAGAAACTACATGCTAGGGAAACGAAAAAGCATATTTTTTTTTCTTCTTTTTAACTCGTCTTTTGAATACCACTGTATGTCTTTAATCACTTTTGAATTACAATATTGGCCTTGCAGGAAAGTGACCGGGAAGAAATGTAAGCAGGAGATGCTGAAATAGAGCAATATTTGCTTCATTTCACTGGTACTACATCGCATATTCGGCCTTCAAATGGCTATCTTTATGTCATGGCAAAAGCTTTCAACTTTGTCAATGAGTAGCTTATATTTCACAAATTGAATGAGTTACCAAATGACATTTACAAAGAACAAACAATGGAAAAAATTATCGCATCCAACCCCCGCAACGCGGGGGTCCCCACCTAGTTCGTCATTACAAATGATACACTTTTGTACAACTAGTCGTTTACTTTATTATGAATCATACGAATGAACTTGGGCCGGACCGGAAAAAGTGATGTGGCATCTGTTGTGTGCATGAAATATGATGCTGATGTTGGCATGGAGAAACTGATGTACATACCAGTCATTTCTCCCTCCTCGGCAGGCAAATGTTATTTCCTTGTTGTCGGAAAACGCTTGGCAAAAAGATGCTAAGCTAGTGCTCTACTCCACGGGCGTGGAAATAAGAGCGACTCCTTCAGAACGTTATTAAGCGTCAAATTGGTGAGATGGTAAAAAGTTGCAAAAAGTATGTAATTTAGAAATACTTACAAAATAGCTTAATTTCTTAACGATTTAGCCAAAATAGCCAAAAATTAGCTTTTATCCAAAAATAGTTAGTGAAACCGCAGATGAGGCTAACACGCTTGTGGTTTCGTCAGCTCGGATGTAGAATTGTCGTTTGACATGAGATTTTGTATTATCTATAAAAAACATTCATGTTGCCTCATTTTTGAAACACGAAATCGCATATGGTATATGGCCATCTACGGTTTCCTGTTAAGTCCTCCGCGATTTCCACTTTTTTGATATTGCGGATTTTTATTTGTTTTGTTTACACTAAAAGTTTGTAAGTTTGACTACGATTTTTGTTCATTTTGAATAAGATTTTTGACATCTTTGGCTATGATTTTATATTTTCACTACTTTATATAGAATGCAGATAAAAAATCTAAAGTATTAGCGTTTATTTTTTCATGCTATAATTGTCATTAAAAATATTATAATTTCTACTAAATATTTTGATGTGGTTGTAATTGACGGAATGTGAGAGATAAATGATTATCAACTAAGATACCCTTGGCAACGAGGGGAAGTTCTAGAATGCTTAGTTCCGTGTGCGATTTTTGGAAAATATTACTTTTGTGAATTTATTTGGTGAAAGTAAGACTAGTTTGTTAGATAAATCAAATATTAGTCTTGCTTTCCGTTATCCCAAAATGTAGTATATTATAGTCATAGTTGATGATGGTTATGTTAGGAACCTGGTCAATGTAATTAAAGAGTTTTGGAAGAAAACATATGACTGTAATTTTCGTGGTTGTTGAAGGTGATGGTGGTAAAGAAGGAGATGATAGTGTTCAGTTGAAAACATATCCAGCGGAAAAGAAGCAACTTCTAATGTACCTCGAATTCATAGTGTTGCTGCTGAAAATGAAAATGTGGTGTAATCAACTATTCACTATGTGGATCCTCAAAATTATACGTATGTTGTTACATATGTTAATGATGTAGGTGCATGAGATAATACTGAACACCAACACCAAGTTCAACTTAATGAGGTCGGTAAAGTTAATGAAATTCAAAACCAAGAAGTTCCATTTTTTAGAGATGTCAATCTAGCTGGTTACAGGGATACAATAGTTGTTCGTTTAGATATATTCGGCCTATAAAGTAATTCCAATGGAGAAAAGTCAGATGGTGAACCAATACATAGGTTTCATATATCATATTGTTTGGATTATGGGTTCCCTAAGGATATGCATGGTTCTTTTGGGTTATAGACTTCGAATTAGACCAAGAAGGAAACCGTTATCCTATTCTAAGGTCGTGTGCGACCATGTTTTCATATGGTGTTGCTTGGGTAGCAGCATTGTTATGCTCAATTGGCATTGTGAGGGAGTTGCTTAGGTCCCTTAAAGGCAATGGGATGAGGTGGGTATCATTAGGCACGGAGTATTAGGCGGATGATGTGATGTTGACAAGGTTGGTGTGATACTGAAAACATTCCTGACATGGGATGAGGGCCGGGGAGGGCATTCCATACTCATGTTGTGGGCTCGGAGGCAATCCAGACCTATGCTGAGGACCTTGTAGGGGTATTCCGATCGTAGGCTGTGGGCCTAGTGATCATGATTGTTTATTTCTTCTATTGGTAGTACATTCGACATTGGTGTGTTGATCGGAATCGAGAGACCCACCAGTCAGATGGTTTGGATAAAGGAAGAAATACGGTTGTAGGGAGTATCAGTTAGGTATCAGAAAGTCTATGTAGGATGTATTGATTATGATTCCGGTTGCTCGCAAGTTGTTGCTAAGGTTTTGATTTTCAAGTTGGAATTGGTTATGAGGTCGCAATTTATAAAGTTCTTCATGATTTTCTTAAGGGGGTTGGATGTAACGCATAAATTCTTGGTTTGATCATCTTTGCTCGGTGAAGCAATGGTTGGTAATGGCATAGCAGAGAGTGAAGGGTTATTAAGGTTTTGGTACATCATATGGTTTGGTTTTGGGTCAGGTACACAGTCGGTATGTTTTGAGGATCATTTTTGCATATTTCTGTTATTGTCTCCAGCCAGGGACTAAGGGCAAATTCATAATTGGATGTTCATCAGTTGTAGGGAAGGGTCTTCAAGAAGAATATGAGTGGCCATTTTCGAGTGGGCTTGTAATGGGAACTCGCGTTGGGAATCACGCTTGTATCCGTGCAAGGTCTGTACTAAGAAAGATGTGGATCAATAAATTTTTATGTCTAAGGCCTCAACTGGAGGGTTAAGGATTTAACTTATGTGTCTGTGCTCTAGGATTGTTCACCTGTGTAAAGGTCGCGCAAGTGATGATGGAAATTGTGGTTTTCAATTAATATCTTTATGTCTCGGTTTAGACGAAGATGCATGGCCTAATATTCGAAAAGAGTTAATTAAAGAGTTGATGAAATATAAGCCGTATAATGTTGGCATGTTTGAACCCAAAATTAGTCTCATAATTGCAACGCTTTAGATTTTTCAGCAGTCATGCACCTATTGGATGATAATATCAGAAATATGTATTCTCATTGCTTCAAGATATAATGTAATACTACATGATTTAACCGTCATAGGTAGTCATACATAGCTACCACTTCGATCTTTTCCATCATTTTAGTATAAATGTGTTGCCATAACAATTGGATATCAAAATAACAGTCATTACATCAAAGCTATATTGGATGAAGGTTACCTGATGAATACTATTCCACCACATTGTGAAACATCCTAAAAATACGATCCAAATTTTTTTTGTTTTTAAATAATAATAAAGGTCATAACACTGAATGTCATATAATAAAAGTCATACGTCGGATATCTCAAAAGCCATAATAAAAGTGTTGTATCAAAAATGTATCAAATCATATCTAAGTATCGGAAAAAAACTCCCAGGAATAAAGCTGAAGTTGTGGTGTGTGCGATGCCGTCATCCCGAGCTCTTCCCTTTACTTGCGGAAGTACCTGAAACCAAAACTGAAACTGTAAGCACAAATCCCCCAAACCACCACATACCATACAATAACATATAAACACATATTAGGCCTTGCCCACTACATCAGACCGAAGTCCGAAAACTGCATCAGGCCGAAGTCCGGAACTGAGTGGGACCTTATCCCATGCATCAGACCGAAGTCCGGAACTAATTAACTGCATCAGACTGAAGTCTGGAACTGACTGGGACCTTGTCCCCTGCATCAGACCAAAGTCTGGAACTCACTGCATCGGACCGAAGTCTGGAAACTAACTGAGCATAACATAGCATAGCATAAACATATCAACTAGCATGAACACATAAACTGCATACTGCATCGGGTCGTAGCCCGGAACACATAACACATGAAAACTGCCTGAGCTACGAAGGCATCCAACATTCTAACTACTGCATCGGACCGAGGTCCGAAAGCTACTACTAATTAAACGGGTCAGCATTGTGGCCTTAGACCCGTTCCTACTAGAAGGAAACTCACCTTGTAGCCTAGCTGCTGAAAGAACTGCTCCGGAATCTGTCTGCTGCGGCTCCGGCTTCACCCCGACTACAATTTCCATAAGTACCCTCAATCAAGTACTGATAATAATTCTGAGGGTAAAAAGACTATCTTACACTTGGTCAAAGTCAACCTATCAGTCAAAGTCCACATTTAGTTGGCCTGACTCGTCAAGTTGGGTCACCAACTCGTCGAGTCCTTATTCTCACTTTCTTACCTCACCCCGATACTACTCGTTGAGTTCAACATAAATTCGACGAGTTCCTCTTCGAACTAACACTCAGACAATCTGCATCCGACTCGCCGAATTGTATGAACAACTCATCGAGCTCTCCTTCAACATATGAACACTCTGACTGTGACTCGCCAAGTTATATGAACATTAAGTCGAGTCTGTTCTTGAGGCATGAAGATTGCCTTGGAAGCGCTGAGTCAGGGCATTGACTCGCCGTGTTCTTCCACGAATGAGTCTAACCTCTAGCTCACTGAGTCCATCTCTCCCTTACTGGTTCCACTCGGCATAACTCGAAAAGGGGAAAACGGGGGACTCACGACTCGACTCGCTGAGTCTGAAGAACGACTCGCCGAGTCGTATACATGCAATCACTATACACTCGATTCTGCTTGAAACCAGTTCATTCCATTCATAGATCTGGGTTCTAGGGGCTTAATTAACACGTAAAGTTTCCAACTTTACGTGTGGATAACATCAAATGGAGGTTTTAAGGCTCAAAGCACACTATAAGAGTAGATCTAGAGCTTTCATGTAAAATGGCTCCAGAAAGGTACTAGATCTAAGCTTCTGGAACTCAAACCTAGATATATCCGAAGGCTATTCATCTCAATGAGTCCTCTACCAAGCCAAGAAATGGTTCAAGAATAGCTTTAATGGCTTTCCAAAGGGGATTAAAGCATAGAAACAGAAAAAGGGTCGAGTTATACCTCACTATACTCTTAAATGCCACCAAGATCT